CTGGTGCTGAAACAAATCCCCATGAATCTAACAACTTAAAACTTAGTATCTTTTGATTATTTCATGGGTCTATAAGTCAGAAGTTCAGGCACAGAGTGCCTAGCTGGGTCCTCCACTTGGTCTCACCAGACTGAAATCAAGGTGTCAGCAGGATTGCATACTTTTTTGGAGGTTCTGAGGATGAATCCACGTTAAAGCGCAGACTGAAGGCTGAATTTCATTTCTTTGGGTTGTATAACTCTTGGGGCTGGTTTTTACCCCTAGAACCTGACTGCATTGCTTTTTATGCTGTCCAGGTATCTCTCATTGAGCCAGAATGGGTTCCTCTTAAGCTTGAATTTCTTTGATTTCCCCCTTTACTACATCTCTCTCACACTAGTGGGAGAATGTTCTCTGCTTTCAGGACTCCTGTGACAGATCCAGCTGACCTGGACAGTCCAGGATAATATCCTTATTTTAAGATTTGTAATCTTAATGTAATCAGCAAAGTCCTTTTTTTTTGTCATGTAAGGTAGCATATTCCAGGATTCAGAGATGAGGTTGTGGACATTCTGGAAGAGCCATTCTGCCTACTGTAGGAGTTACATTCTCACTTTAGGATAGTGGTTGTCTATGGGGAGGGAGGAGAAAGATTAGGGAATGTGTAAAGACTTTGAATCTATAATTATCTACTTTTAAAAATAATCTGAAGCAAATATGGCAAAAATATAATAAATAAAAAGAAATTTATATTTTATCACACAAGAATAAAAATACTGAAAGTCAAAACACAGGAAATATTTAAAAAGTAGAAGATAAAAAAAGATGAATTAACTCCAGAGAAAGTGAAATTTAGACTAACAACTGACGTCTCAAAAGAAATGTTGGACTAAATAGAAGATATAGAGTCATATTTTCAAAGTACTGAATAAGAAATAACTTCTCCATTAGGATTCTATGTCCATTAATAAATCATTAGACACGACAAACCTGTATTGAATTGTCACACAGTAACCCATAAATATGTATGATTAAAATAATAATTCATAATAAAAATAAAATAATATAGAAATTTTAAAAGAATAGAGGTGAAATAGATATATCACTAGCAGACTTGCACTAAATGAAATTTTAAAGGAAGCTTTCAAGAAGAAAGAAAAAAATAATTTTGCAAGTGGAAGTTATTTCCTTCAAATCTATCTTCTGATTCATTAAGACCTCTTCAGCTTTGTTTAACTTGTGTCAAACCTGTCCCTTGAAATCTTAGTTTTTGCTTTCAAGCTTTTCAGTTCTAAGTGCGGAAAAGTTGAACAAAAAAGAAAGAAAAAGAAAAAAAGGCAAACAGGTGAACAAATTTAAAATATCATTGACCATTTAATAATAATAATGCCATACATAATAGTAGTTATGAGTTTAATATGTAGTAAATTTAAAATATGATAATTATGTCTTTAACATACATAGTACAATGAGACATGAGTAAGATCTGAAGACAAGATGAGTCACTTAGCTTCAATGGGAATTCCCAGAGGAATTATCTAGAAACTGTGTTTAGCTAATAAGCCCAACATTTGCCACAGGCTGAGCTTTCTAACAGTCAGGATGGACCCACCTCCCCCCTGGGCTTTCAGGTCAAGCCGTGCCCATCCCATTGGCCACCTTCACCCAGCCGCCCATTTGAAATAGTTAGACCTGAGCCTCCACTCTTAGTATGGTGCTCTGAATACTATATTAACAGTACAGAGAGAGGATTGTGCAATTAAGCTGGGGAAGCATGAAAGAAATTGCTGTCATACTTGTTAAGAATTGGATTTTTTCACGCTTCCTTTTTCTTTGTAGTTTTAAGGAGTCATTAAGGGATAAGAGCAAAAATATTGTCAAAGTTCAGAAAAGCCTTCTGAAGTCTTCATTTGCAGGAGCTTTTGATGAGTGAGCTTACATATTTCTCTTTGTGCAAAAAAAAGGTCTTAAATAGAATAAGCAATGTCATTTCCTAAGATTAGCCAGCTGTGAATTTCTACTGATTTGAGAGGCATGCTTACCAACTCAGGAAAACAGGACACATTATGCACTAAGAAGAGACAGAACATGGTGATGCTTCCCTCTTTCCTCTGATGCTTTTTTTCTGTCACTGGGTTCCCCCAGTTTCTACCATGACCTGTCATTCCCCCATCAGGAACTTCTTCCCATTAAGTCCTCTCGTCTGCTGTTTGTCTTCTGGATTATCGGTACCTCCCTTGTCCTCTCCGGCATGGTATTCATTTCTGTTACCTAAGATATTTGGTCACTTCGCTTTCTCCTTTTGAGAAAATTAAACACTTGTTCTGGGGGTGAAGGAAAGAGTCCTCAGCACCTCTGATTTCTTCAGCATTACATTCAAGTCAGTAAGTCTTTCCAGCCTGCCAAAGTAGCTATGTTTAGCTTCTATTTTACATATGGGACAACTGAGACAATGTCTCTTTCCTGTATCTTGCTGTATTCCCTGTTTATGGTGTTGAATGTCCTCATTATGGCAAAAACCTGGAAGTTTGGGAGGCTAATAAGAGGGAGCTGGCTATTAGCAGTGGGGGAAGGTGAGGACATCAGTGATAAACATAAGAAAACTTGTGATTCAAAGAGAACTTGGAACATACAGGCTTCAGAATCTAAAACTAATCATATCTTTAAATATGGGTACACCCTGTAATTGCATATTCAGATATAAGTTTAGAATTGGATAAGAGACATTGCTTTGAGGCAGACCTCTCCAGTTGACAATTTTTTTTTCTCCATTGCCTTTGCTATACTGGGTTTAATGCAAACTCTAAGTGTCTGAAATCTCTTGCTGGTTCCTCCTGATCAGGTCTGTTCTCTGCAAATAGGAAAGCCCTACCCTATTCTCTTCCAGAGTCATTCATTTACTCATTCATTCATCAATGCATTAAGTTGTGCTTTTAAATAAAATACTTTGAGCAAGGCTTTAAGCCAGTCACAATGCTAAGTAACTTCCTAAGCCTCATTCTAAAAAAACAATTCCTTTGGGGCAGGTTCTTTTTGGAAAAGATCCACTCCACTGACTCCACTTATTGTACAATAACTGTATACATAGTGGGAGTATTCTGATAGCTGTTTCATTCTAAATTTGGACTCAGACCCTGAATAAGTGAAGAAACGAGAACACTAGATTAAAAAAATAAGTGATAATTTTATTTATTTCTGTGACCCTTCATGTAACTTTACAACACATCTCACCCATGAGAAAGTCTGACTTCATAGTTTCTGAGTTTGTCCTTGGTGGAAATATCCTTTGTAAGATTCTCACTTTTGGCCTTTATTTTTAAGGGAGAAAATTTCCACAGTTTAAGGAGTTTCTAGTGCTAGTGAGTGAGGCTTCATCTGGAAAAGAGTAGTGAGAAGGAGTCCTTTCCTTTTTCTCTCCTACAAAATTATAATGGGTAGTGTGATCTTCTGTCTGCATTTCTTGTTTTTTTTTTCCAGCATCATCTGCCAATGATGTGATAATCTCAGAAAGAATCCAGTTTGCTGTAGCTAGATCTATACTGGTGAGTTAAAAAAAATTAATATGGAAAATGCATACCCCCCATATGACTGGAAGAATTTAAAAACAATCTATCCAATTTAACTTTTTCTTTTCCTCTTTTAGAAATTAAGGAAGGAGGGACTGTGTGTCCAGCAGGGATTTCAAACTCTGCCTAAACACCATGTTCTCTTACTGACAGTCAAACTTACTAGTTTGGATAAAATTTATTAATCAGGATTTGAAAATTTTCTGGATCATTAGATTTGAAAAAGTTTTTCTCTAATTCTATGCTAGTTATTGCTAAACTGGGTGAGAACTAAGGTAATGTGAAATTGATTCCTAAGAGTAGTATAATGCTGGATGTTGTTTGGGTAATCAGTGGAAGAGAAACCATAGACCTTTGAGAATTTGAATGTGCCAGTCTTGCAGTAGGAACACAACAGTTAAGAGTCAAAGAGGAAGAGTTACAGTGGTATTGTTGGTAGTGTTGAAGGGTTACCCTGAGTCTATGGTTGTAATCTAGGTTGTCTGTTCAGAGTAGGAAAAAACAGAGCAGCATTTAGAGAATCAGTAGGAAGTCTGTGTTTCAAGAGGCATAAGAGCAGAGACAATTATGGAATCTGAACAGGTCACATGTATTACATTTGCCTTGGGCCTGGAGTCTATGACAATGTGTGTTCCATATGGACAAGTTTCTCCTATCAGTTATGTCACAGCTGGAGCAGCTCTGGGCTGTCCCTGTCATTATTTTCCTTTCTGTTTACTTGGCCCATCTCCAACCACTATTCCTTTTCACTTTCTGCTACTAAATCCACTTAAGTATTTATTGAAAAAATAAAAATAAAAGTTATGTATGGGAACTGCTTACTTCCCAACAGCAAACCTGCTTATCTTATGTAAGTTTGATGGATGCAACAAACTCACACCCACCTAAGGCCATGCTTTGCTTCTGCTCTGAAATCCTACTATTCCCATTCTCCCAGAGACATCATTTCTGCAAATTTCTCATATTCCTTATGCAGTTCCATCCTCTTTACTAGATTATTCTCAATAGTTTACAAATATTCTTTTGTAGCTTTAATAATAAAAGGATAACAAACTTTAAAACATTTAAGAAAGAATAATAAAGGTAGACAGAGAATTGATCTAGGGTTGGGGTCCTGCTGAAAAGATTATTAAAGGGTTTAGGAAATCTAGGGGCTTAGGGAAGTTTTCCATTTCTAAACATGAACTTTTGAGTAGGCATGAAACTTTGTGAAAAACAGGATTAAGCTAGGTTTGATGCTGGGTGCATACCTATAATCCCAGCTACTGGGGAGGCTGAGGTAGGAGGATTGCAAGTTTGGGGTCAGCTTCTGCAATTTAGTGAGACCTTGCCTCAAAACAAACAGCTACAACAATAATAATAAAAAAGAGGACTAAAACATCTAGATATTTGTTAGACATAAGAAGAAGTTTTACCCAATTTATTTCTTATCTTCCAAAGAAAATACTGCAGGCTATGGGAAACCACAGTGTTGTTCCCGAGTTCATCCTCCTTGGGCTGTCTGGGGATACCCAGATCCAGGTCCTTCTCTTTGTGCTTTTCCTGGTGATTTATCTGCTGACCATGGTGGGGAACCTGGTGATGCTGCTGGTAGTCAGGATTGATTCCCACCTCTGTACACCCATGTACTTCTTCCTGGGGCAGTTGTCCTTCCTGGATCTGTGTCACTCCTCTGTCACTGTGCCTAAGCTGTTGGAGAACCTCTTGTCTGAGAAGAAGACCATCTCTGTGGAGGGCTGCCTGGCTCAGGTGTTCTTTGTGTTTGCCACTGGGGGCACTGAGTCCTGCCTGCTCGCTGTGATGGCCTACGACCGCTACGTTGCCATCAGCTCTCCTCTGCTCTATGGCCAGGTGATGAACAGGCAGCTGTGTGAGGGGCTGGTGTGGGGCTCCTGGGGCGTGGCTTTCTTGGATGCTTTCATTAATATCCTTGTAGCTCTGGATTTAGACTTCTGTGAGGCTCAAAATATCCACCACTTCATCTGTGAGCTGCCCTCTCTCTATCCTTTGTCTTGCTCTGATGTGTCTGCAAGTTACACCACCCTGCTCTGCTCCAGCCTCCTGCATTTCATTGGGAATTTTCTCCTGATATGTTTTTCCTATATTCGCATTTTGCTCACCATCCTGGGCATCAGCTCCACCTCAGGTAGAAGCAAGGCTTTCTCCACCTGCTCCTCCCACCTCACCGCAGTGACTTTCTTTTATGGCTCAGGGTTACTCCGCTATCTCATGCCAAATTCTGGATCCACCCAAGAGTTAATCTTCTCCTTGCAGTATACCGTGATCACTCCCATGCTGAATCCCCTCATCTACAGTCTGAAGAACCAGGAGGTGAAGGCCGCTGTGAGAAGAATGTTGAGAAAGTGTTTCTAGTGTTTCAAATGATAGATTACAAAATCATAACGATGACTAGAATTGCAGTAAGTAGCACCTGAATATTAAGAACTCCCTGATATGTGGATCTAAAATGTGCCTTATGCCTCTTCTTAAAAATACTGAAGAAAAGGTGGAGAGTTATTTGGGGGAGATGATACCAGTGTAGTCCCATTCAGAGGAAGATGGAAGGTTAAGATAAACCTCTTGGTTAACAATTTTTTTCCATATAGAAATACTGTATATTAGATGTGGTTATTGCCCACTGAGACTACCTTTATCATTCTTCTAGAAACTAAACTCTACTTGTTCAAAATGGCTCCAGAGAGACTGTGCATCATGGTGTCCCAAAGTTCCTTTCCGGCCCCAACCCCGGTCATTTTTTCACTCAGCCTTCATGGCACAGTGTCTGGTTCAAGAGCGGACACAACATCAATGCCATGTCATCCACCCTCTTAGGAATCTTAATCTTGAGGTGAGATTCTTTAGAGGTGGAGGTCAGCACTTTGTTTGCAGCACCCTTAACAGCCTATGCGAGTGCCCCTGCTGATGTGATCACTAGAGTTATCCTATAAGAGTCTGTTTTTCCAAGGCCAGATATATAAGCATGAATCATACTGAGTACATTATTAGTATTTGCATCATGTCCTGCACTATGCTAAGCAATTTACATACATTATCCCATTTAAGTATCACAACAAATGTATTATGTAAACACTTCAGTTATCCCTATTTCAGAAAAGAGAAACTGACTTGGAGAAGTAAGTGATGAGGTTGGAATTTGGAATCAAATGGACTTACACCAAAACCACTGTTTTCTTTATCAGCTTGATAACTGACCCTCTTTGTGATACTGTAATCTACCCTGGACTCCATTTTTAATGTTTATTGCTGATGTACTTTATTTTATTTTACTTAATAAGTAAGTCAGAATTAGATTCTGTAATTTGCAAGAAAAGAATCTTAAGAATTATATGTTGGTACTTCAGTGGAATTGAAGTATAGACATCCAAGGACAATTGGGATATTTGAAATTGTGTATTGGACCAATATATGCTTCAAACTATTTACCCAATGGTCAACCATCTCTAGCTGTGAAGGGACCCATGACAAGGGATGATTCCCCCAGCTCATATGGATTGCTATACAAGTAGTTTTGCCACTCAGCCCCTGTGATGCTGTAGAAATGGCTGAGCAAGTGCTGGATGAGATCTGTGGAGAATATAAAGAACTAGAAGAATTTCAGCAAAGATACCTTAGATTGTGAAACATATTGAAGAATTGGTGAGATTTGGTACAGTATGGACTGAAATTATCATGGTGAAAAATTAATCATCATTTCTTTATGAAGTCATCTTTTATTTTTAACTTCTTTCCAAGCAGTCAATGGTCACCCTCTCTTTTACTTTGTATTCTTTAGCAGCAGAGAGTATAAACTCAAAGAAAACAGGACATTTTTATGGTATCCTTGCTACTTTTTTAAGAATATGAAAATGGTTTCTAACATCCTTGTTGATTAATAAGTGTATTTTGTTGTGCAAGTTATGGGCTAAGAAACTAGAATATATTTAAAATGAATTCTCATCATAAGGTCACCACTGTTAAAGCATAATTATACAAATAGGATAGTCTAGCATGCAAATGCCAGTCATTCCTGTATGCCTCATTCTGGTCCATTAACTCATAAACACTATAGCCAGGTGTGAGCAAGGTGACAATTATGTAAATACATTTTAATTCACCAAGTCTGATTCACTGTTGTCACTGAAGAAAGTTATTTTGATAAAAGTCACCTATAAATTTTGTTAGATACATTATAGATATCTTTTATTTTTTGTTTCTATAATGTTAAAAATTCAAGTACATTTATATCCAAAGGTTTAACCAGGCCCAACCATACTTGGTTTCTAAGATCAGAGGAGACTAGATACATTAGTGTAGTGTGGTCATAGGCCTCTTGGTTATTTCTAATATATAAGAATGCTCTTGTACCTGTCAATTTTGTTGAACTATCTTCATAGTTCTAGTGGCTTGAATTTTAAAATATTTTCAATGATTTCATCTTCAATGGGAATAATTTTTATGCAGTTTTTATATATTGCATTTTAATGTTAATTTAGTGGGTAGGACTTCTAGTCTAGACATTTTTGGGGGGGATTTGTGGGAAAGCTCTCATGTTTCAGCATTAAGAATAAGGATTGCTCTTTTTTGGGTGAATATCAAGAGAGCTCTGTTCTAATCATAATTGGCTAAGAATTGGTGGGAGATTTTTGTCAAATGCCTTTTTTTCTGCTTCCATGGAGGCCTAGGGTTCTTTATCTTCTGTTTACTACTGTATAATATCTGTCACATAATAGTCATGCAATAATACATGTTGAATAAAAATAAATTCATTGAAGTGATCCTTCATTATTTAATTTGGTAATAATAAATTGTCTTGGTAGGTGTTCTGTTGTTGAAGAATCATTGCATTTGTGGAATCACCCTACTTCAGTATAATATTAAAAACTTAGTTAACTTATTAGTATTTGACTTGGAAATTTCCTATTTATATGCATAAATCAGATAGTATAATTGTTTTTCTTGCATTCACATGATCTTTTCTTCTCAAGATTTTTAGAAGAAAAACTCACCCAAAGTATACAAATCAATGGTATCAATCACATTTACAGAGTTGTGCAACCATCACAACAACTTAAATTTAGAACATTTTCATCAGCCCAAAGGAAATCTAAATGTCTCTTCTTTAAAAATAATTTTAAAAATAATTAATTTTAAAAAATTAATTTTATAAAAATAATTTTAAAAATATTTTTAAATTATCTTTTAAAACTGATACATAAAATTGTATATTGTCAATTATAATATAGCATTTATGATGTTTTGGAGTATATAAACATTGTAGAATGGTTAAGTCTAACTAGTTAATTTATGCATTACCTTAAATATAGTTATCCTTTTTATGGTGAGAACTCTTTAGTATTTATCCTTTGCATTTTTTTTAAACCAGGGATTGAATCCAGGGGCACTTAACCAGTGAGCCACATCCCAAGCCCTTTTAATATTTTATTTAGAGAGGGTCTTGCTGAGTTTCTTAGGGCCTTGCTGAGTTGCTGAGGCTGGCTTTGAACTGGTGATCCTCCTGCCTCAGCTTCCTGAGCCATTGGGATTATAGGTGTGAGCCAGCCCACTGAGTGCTGTTTGCATTTTTTGAGAATACAATGTATCATAATTAAATATAGTCACATACATTCCTTCTATATAACTATAATTATATATTCTTTGATCAACGTCTCCCCAACCCCAATTTCCCCTAACCAGAAGAAGAACGTAGACAATTTTGCTCTATATCCATGCTCTAGTTTGGATGATAAATGTCCCTGATAGGCCCTTGTATTAAGGGCTTATTCCTCTGAGTGGTGCTATTGAGAAGCAGTGGAACTTTTTAGAGGTGGGGCCTACTGGGAGGTCTTCAGGTCATTGGGGCCATGCCTTTGAAGGGAGTAGTGGGAATCCCAGGTCCCTCCTCTCTCCTTCTCTTTTTGTCTTCTGGCCATGAGGTATGTGGTTTTGTTCTGCTACATGCTTTTCATCTCTATGAGCTAACCTGCCATAGGGCCAAAAACAACAAGGCCAATAATGATAGTCTAAAACTGTGAGCCAATTTTCTCTTTATAAGTTAATTATCTCAGGTGTTTGTCATAGTGAAGGAAAGCTGACTAACAGTGTATGGCATCAATTTTTTAAGATTCCACATGTAACTGAGATTGTGCAGTTTTATCTTTTTTTACTTGGCTTATCTCACTTGACGTAATGTCCTCCAGATTCATGCATGGCATCCCCAACAGCAAGATTCCCTTCCATTTGAAGGTGAAATAGTATTCTATTTTGTCCAATATTCATTGAAGCTCTTTTGAATATTGTTTATAAATGATAGCTAAGACATAGAATCAACCCAGGTACCCCCCAAAAAATGGATGAATGGATGAAAAAAATGTGGTACATATACACATAGAAGTGCATATATGCTACTCATAGAACAGAGTAGAACGGTGGTTAGCAGAGACTTGGGTAGAGTGGGGAGATGTTGGCCAAAGGTTGTATTATTATGGTTAGATAGAAAGAGGGGAAATTCAGAATAGACAAATACATAGAGACAGAAAGTTGGATAAGTCATTGCCTGTAGCTTGGCAGTGGAGAGGAGAGGCTGCATGGGAATTGGGAATGACTGCTAAGGGTTATGGTCTAAGACTGATGGTGGAGATGGTTGCATAACTCTGTGAGCATATTGAAAACCATTTTATTGTATACATTAAATGGGTGAATTGCATGATATGTGAATTATATCTTAATAAAGCTGTTTTTTTAAAGAGGAAGAATTTATGTATTATTTTTTCCCTCTCTTTTGCCATCTGTGAAAATTCTTCCTATCTGGTAGTTTATGTTCCTTTTTCCCAGCATCTAGTCCTCAACCAGTCTTTATCATCTTACTTTGGGGCTCCTGCTTTGTGCCTATACTAGGGTAATTGCAACTCTTTTCATGATCCAATGATCAGACTGTCTCAGTGCTTCCTCATTAGGTTTTGCTTTTGTTTCCTGACATGCTTGATCTAGAAATTCTATAAAGATATTTGCCTGAAAGGTAGCAAGATTTCATTTGTTCTATCATGAAGGTTGACCCCATCCCACACTGTCACTTCAAACTTTGAATACATCTCTTGTCTTCTATCTCATACTGAATACATTTAGTTCTCAGTATCTTGCATGGAAATTAATCATAGCTATACCTAGAACTGGAAGTGCTGCTTACCATTTTGCATTTCAATTCCATTTTTATTTTAGTGATAAGCTCATTATATGTTTTCTTTTCACCGTGCTATTTTATCTGACCTAGATGCATGTTGAAAGCAGGGTGGGTCCCTCAAACCCAAATTTATGCCCTAAATAATTTATATTCAATCTCTGAAAACAGACTCTGAGATGAGGATTCACGTCCAAGT